AAATTATTTCAGAGAATTTTTAACGTCATATATACATATGTAAAATGATAATTTTAAGTTTACAGAATTAAGAGGATATTTAAATATAATAGGATTAGAAATTTTCCTTCCCTAAAAGTGAGATTATAGTCAACAGGACTACAAACCTTTTTACATTATTTAAAAATTTCAGTTTAGGGCCGGGCACGGTGACTCACGCCTGTAATCCCAGCACTTTGGGAGGCCAAGGCAGGGGATCACCTGAGGTCAGGAGTTCGAGACCACCCTGACCAACATGGAGAAACTCCATCTCTACAAAAATACAAAATTAGCCAGACATGGTGGCGCATGCCTGTAATCCCAGCTACTCAGAAGCCTGAGGCAGGAGAATTGCTTGAACCCAGGAGGTGGAGGTTGCAGTGAGCCAAGATCGTGCCATTGCACTCCAACCTGGGCAACAAGAGCAAAACCCCATCTAAAAAAACAAAAACAAAAATTCAGTTTAGAAATCATAACAGAAATGTAAGACTAATTATAGAAAGTTTTAAAAGGTCTAATCTTGTCCTCTAATTTAATCTAGAATCATATTTTCTTAAATTATTTTTAAATTACTGTATTGCTTTCTAAATACAAATAACCCTAGTAGGAATACCCTTCCATTCTGCCAACAGTTTTTGAAGACGTAATATGTTTAGCCCCTGCAATCAGTGCTGGGTTTACAAAACTAAAACACATGATTTTGACTTACTCCTACTACACTATCAATACATTAAGAAATGGGATTTTGGAATAAGAGATGAGATAGAGTAGAGGTGATGTTTGGTTAGCCTTAAGAGTTAAAGCGTGAGGACATGGAAAAATTGGAATCCTTGTACACTGTTGTTGGGAATGTAAAATGATACAGCTACTATGGAAAACAGTATGATGGCTCCTCAGAAATTAAAAATAGAAGCAAGCACCCTTGTGAACCAGCAATTTCTCTTCTGGGTATATATTCAAAAAAAAATAAAAGAAGGATTTCAAAGAGACATTTGCACATTCATATTCATAACAGTACTATTTACAATTGCCAAGAGGTGGAAGCAACCCAAGTGTCTGGCAACAGATGAATGGATAAACAAAATGTGGTATATACATATAATGGAATATTATTGAGTCTTAGAAAGGAAGGAAATTCTGACCCATGCTACAACATGGATAAACCTTGAGGGCATTATGCTACGTAAAATAAGCCAGTCACAAAAAGACAAATAGTATATGATTCCATAATTTTATGGCTTTTTCACTCCTGTAGTTCAGCAAGTGGGAGGGAGTGGCACCCAGTGGCTTCTTCTCTCCCATCATTTGGCAAGTGGGAGGGAGTGTTACAGCTCTATTACTCCTGCCGCCCACAGCTTGGCGAGCAGGAGTGCTACATCCCTTTCAATCCCACAGTTCAGTGAGTTCTGGGTTCTTGTCCCATGACCAAGAGGAATAAGGTACACAGACATTGGAGAGTGAGTAAAGCAGAGTAGAATTTAATTGAGTAACAGAAAGAAAGTTCTCAGCCTTGAGAGGGGACCTGAAATTGGGTAGCCATCTGTGAGGCTGAGTCTGGGGGTTTTATGGGCTTAGAATGGGGGCGGGGTGCATGCTGATTGGTTCATGAGTGGTCTTGGAAAAAGCACAACTTGACTGGTTAAAAGGCATCATTCAGAAGGAAGCAATTTTGAGAGAGTAGGTAAGATGGGGATAGAAGTTTTCACTCTGGTTGTGGACTGTCTCCGGAATTGGCAGCTTGCTTCTCAGGCTTTAAACTGTCCTTGGCTTTAAGGTCAGGTTTCACTGGAGACCGATCCCTGTCTGCCTAGGAATTTGTCTGTCTTCTGTCACTATAAATGTGAGGTATCTAGAGTAGTCAAATTCATAGAAATAGAAAATAGAATGGTAGTTTCCAGAAACTGAGGGGGAGTAGTAATGGGGAGTTGCTGATGGGTAGAGTTTGAGTTTTGCAAAATGAAAATGTTCTGGAGATTGGTAGCATAGCACTGTTAGTATACTTAACACTACTGAACTGTATACTCAGAAATGATTAAGATGGTAAAATTTCTGTCATGCACTTCTTAAAACCACTATACAGAATTTTAAAGGAGGGATAAAGCAAGCCAGGTCTATGTAAACCAGGCTTTGAAGAAGGACACTCTAGTTTTTGTTACAATCAAAAGATGATGAGTTCTCTTTAGATTGTTGAATTTAAGGTGCCTGCTCAACAGTAATGTCCAGGATGTTCTAGATGTAATAGGACTGGGGCTAGAGGTGTAGAGTTTGTCATCCACACGTCAGAAGTACTTAACCTTCATGGATTTGAATGAGCTCATCTATGGAGCAAAAGTAGAAACATGAAAAAGTGAAGGATAGAACCCCAGCTTCCAGCTTAAAAAGGAGGCAGGTAGTAGATAAAAAGGTTCTGAAGAAGAAAAATAGCAGCCAGAGATTTAGAGGAAAATACTGTTCACAGATCAAGTAGGGTAAAGATAAAAGTTACCTGGAGGATTTGGCTGGTGGGACTTTGATGACCTTGCCAAAGTGCCCATATAAGAATGATGGGATGGGGTCCTCCATTGCTCCCACTGGACTCCCCTACTCTACACAGGGGCTCTTAACGTGTGGTTCATGAACTTGGGAGAGGCTTCAGGAGTCTGTGCAAATATAGCAAAATCTAGGTAAAACCAGGAAATCTAGGCAAAATGTTGCATGAATGTGTTTTTATTCTGGGGAGAGTTTTTATGACTTTCATCAGATTTTTAGTAGGTTCCATGATTTGATAAATATTCTATGTGCCAGAGTATATGGAGTCAAAATTCAATATTTCTGCTACCTTGATTTCACTTAAATTATGACTGTAATTCCTTTTTGTGGACCAAGTTTAAGGATTTAATCACAATTTATAATATTTTTTCTTATGGGAAGATATTATTAACAAAAAATAGCCAAACTCTGTATACTATTTAGAAGTTTATTCTGAACCAAATATGAGTGACTATGGCCTGTGACAGAGCTTCTGGAGGTCCTGAAAACATGTGCCCAGGGCAGTTGGGTTATAGCTTGGTTGTATACATTCTAGGGAGACAGAAGTTACAGGCAAACACATAAATCAATATATGTAAGGTAGATATTCAGCCCAGCAAGGCAGGACATCTGGCAGGGATTGGGAGGTGGGGAGGTGGTTGGGGTCCCAGGTCATAGGTAGATTCGAAGATTGGCAGTTGGTTGAAAGAGTTAAGCTTTGCCTGAAGAGTTGAAGTCAGCATAAAGAAATGCTTGAGTTAAGATAAGGGATATTGTGGAAGCCAAGGTTCTTATTATGTAGATGAAGCCCCTAAGTAGCAAACTACAGAGAGAATAGATGGTAAAATCTCTTATTGGACCTTAAAAAGTGTCAGACTCTTAGTTGAATCTCTCCGGGATCAGGAAAAGACCTGGAAAGGTAAGGGATTGTCTACAGAATGCAGATTTCCCCGACAAGTGATGACTTTGCAGGACCATTCCAAAATATGTCAAATAAATATATTTTGGGGCAAAATACTGTGACTTCCTTTATGGCCTGTTGTTTGTCATGGGATGCTATACTAGAGTCAGGTTGGAATTTGGTATCCTATTGCTACAAAGAGTCTGTTTTGTCAGCCTTATGGTCTTTATTTTAATGGTATTGCTGGTCAGTCGTGCCTAAACTCCAAAGGGAGGAGGTATAACAAGGAATATCTGACCTTTCTTCCCATCATGGCCTGAGCTAGTTTTTTCAGGTTTTCTTGGGGATCCCCTTGACCTGGGAGTAGGTGGTTCTTCAGTCAGTTGGGGGGCTTAGAATTTTATTTTTAGTTTACAGTATCATCCAAGTTTTTTGTTTGTTTGTTTGTTTGTTTGTTTGGAGAATGAGTCTCATTCTGTTGCCCAGGCTAGAGTGCGGTGCCACGATCTCGGCTCACCACAGCCTCTGCCTCCTGGGTTCAAGTGATTCTCCTACCTCAGCCTCCCAAGTAGCATGCCACCATGTCCGGCTAATTTTTGTATTTTTAGTAGAGACAGGATTTCACTATGTTGGCCAGGCTGGTCTCAAACTCCTGACCTCATGATCTGCCCACCTTGGCCTCCCAAAGTGCTGGGATTACAGGCATGAGCCA